ACGGGGTGAATGAACAGGGTGGGGGAAAGCAGCAGTGTGGAGAAGGCCTTCTCCACCTGCTCCTCCCACAGTACTTGGGTGGAAAGTTGGCTGAACAATAAGGTCAAATGTCATCTGTGGTGCAAAGTCCTTCTGGCAGCCACTTCCATGTGGCATCCCTCAGAGATTCGCCCTGGACCACCACTGGGGAACATTTTATCATCTCTCTTCACACTGGGAGACAATTCTCTTTCAGCTCCTTTGTGGAAGATGCCAAGTTGCAGGGAGCCCTTGAGCAATCTCATCTAGTGAACGCTGCCTGTACCAGGAGATGCAGGGAGCAGCACAGCTCAGGAGGAAGAGGAAAGTGTCCAAGAGACACGGGGGCTGAGTCAGGGTCTCGAGCCAGTCCCTCGGGAGGCACACTGGGCTCTGCCCGGTTGGGCTGTCCCCAAGCTGTCACTGCAGCACAGCTCACAGGGCCACCAGCGTGAGGGGGGCTTGGATGTCACCCCCCACCACCACCCTCCCACAGCACCCAGGGCAGGGTGCTGGGAGCCCAGAGGGAGGAGGGGATGGGGACAGCCCAGGACCCTGCTGGCACATGTCCCACGTGTCCTTTCCTTGTCCCAATTTCTCCAGGGTCTGGCCACACTCCTGGGAATGAACGTCCCAGCACCCTGAGGTCCCTCCCCACGCCCAGACCTTTGGAAGGAGGGAGGTGGGATGGGATGGGATGGGATGGGATGGGATGGGATGGGATGGGATGGGATGGGATGGGATGGGAAGGAGCCCAGGGTGGCTGTGCCCCGTGGCAAAGTGTCCCCACACAGAGTCACCCTGCTCCCAGACATCATCCCCGCAGCAATGACAGCAGAGGGTCACGGCACATCCCTGGACCCCCAGTAAGTTGACATCCTGGGGAGACACAGCCAGGGGAGGTTTCTCCCTTCCCAGGAGGAACAATCTGGGCCAGGGAGCAGATCTTTTCCAACGCACGCAGATTTTTCTAAGACGATTACATTTAACTCCAAGCTTAAGCAGCTTTTCCTAAGGGGCAGCTTAATATACTGGGGTGGGGAGGGGGAGGAAAAATGCTGAGAAAGTGAAGTCTTCCCCTTTCTCAGTCCTGGGTGGGAGCGGGAGCCAGAGCAGGGCTGAGATTTCAGGGGCCAAAGCTTCCCCATCCACGGCTTCTTGGGCTCAGCATCACCTCCTGGGTGGGACAGCCCGGTCCAGGCTCCAGCCACCCCCCCCCCAGGAGATGCTCCGGCCAAACCTCATCCTCCAAACCCAAACGCAGGGATTTGTCCTTCAAGAAACCACCTGGATCCACCCCAGCAGGGTCACTCATCCCTGGCTGAGCCCAGCCCCGGCAACAGGGTCCAGCTGCAGGGACCCATCCCCATCCCCTTGTCCAGAGACACACAGAGAGGGCTGGTTGCAAGAAGACACCATGCCACTTCAAAAGGGCAGATTTAATGAGTTTGCTTCATTAAGTGGGTAATTAAACACTGATCTGAGCTCACCTTGTCGGGGATGGGAAGCAACCACCCAAGCTTGGACCCTGTCCTGGAAAGATGATGGTTCACCATGGGTTGGGAGGACTCAACACCAAAGGGCTGTGCTACATCTCAACTTTTTCCAAGTCCACCCCACTCCCAGCCCTGGATAACCTCCCCTCACTGGGTGCCGAAGAAGAAATGGGAGTTTAAAGTCACTTTTTTGCCCAAAACTCAGCTGAACAACCTGCAACCAGGGGCATGGGACAAGGGGGTGGGCACTGCCACAGCCCCGTGTGCCATCGGACAGGGGAAGGGACATTCTGGGAGCAGCCAAGGGCACCCAGGCTCCAAGAAAACCAGGCTGGACATGTCCTGTGTGAGGAATGATGCTGCCTGTCCCTGCTCCTTACAGAAGAGCTGGGGTTAAAAGGGGAGGTGAAAATTCCCACACTCATCACAACCAGAGGCAGAAACAGAGCCTCTGATTTAGAGGAGGGAAAAAAAGGGGGGGGAAAATAAAGGGGAAAAATAAATAAATAAATTAAATTGCTCAACAACAACAAAAGAGCTTTCATGGAATTTGAAACAGTATCTCAGACCTCGCAGGAGCAGAAATGGCACTTGGAGAGGGGGGGAAGAACCATCTCATGGAGAAATCTTGTAGAAATGCAGACACCCCCCCCAGCACTGAGCCTTCCCTGGGCCACTGCCCACCCCTGGAAGGGTTTTTCCATCACAAGCTGAGGAGGAGGAGGAGGAGAAGGAGGAGAGGATGTAACGGCACAGCCCTGGCTGGCAGTGGGGATGGCGGAGGGGCTCACATCTCCCTCAGCAGCACCCAGCAGGCAGGAGGGGAAATTAAAGATAAATAAAGGAATAAATTGGCTTTTTGTTAGTACAAGAGGCTGATTCCCTCTTTTATTAGGAGCTGGTTTTGCTCGTAGTGCCCCGGCTTTGTGGGTCCAGCCAGCAAGCACGGGGGGTCCTGGGATGCTGAACTGCACCCAGAAGTGATGCTCCAGCAGCATCTGGGGGGGATGAGCGGCTGGGGGGGGGATGTCACTGCACCCAGTGTCCCCCAGAGCAGCCCAGACCCTGGGTGGGCTGTGGGGACACTCATCCTGATGAGCTGGGGCACCCCCAGCCCACCAGCAGTGTGTGGATGCGTTTTGCAGGGAGGAGAACCAAAAGGAAAGGGAAGAGCAAAGCTTTCAGAAGATCTAATAGACCATGGGAAGATGGAAACCCCCCCACCCAAACCAGTTCCGGCCCATTGCTCCCCTCCCTAAAAGAGCTCGGAGCTCCCAGGTGTGGCAAAAAAAGCACTGCAAAAATAGGTAGCATCGCTCTTTGCCCACTAAAAGACCCGATTTGGAGCAGGTTTCAGCCCTTGCACCTCCTTCCCCAGGAAACTTCCCAGGCCCTGGGTGGGCTGTGGGGACACTCATCCTGATGAGCTGGGGCACCCCCAGCCCACCAGCAGTGTGTGGATGCGTTTTGCAGGGAGGAGAACCAAAAGGAAAGGGAAGAGCAAAGCTTTCAGAAGATCTAATAGACCATGGGAAGATGGAAACCCCCCCACCCAAACCAGTTCCGGCCCATTGCTCCCCTCCCTAAAAGAGCTCGGAGCTCCCAGGTGTGGCAAAAAAAGCACTGCAAAAATAGGTAGCATCGCTCTTTGCCCACTAAAAGACCCGATTTGGAGCAGGTTTCAGCCCTTGCACCTCCTTCCCCAGGAAACTTCTCGCCATCCAAGACCCGGCCAGGACCTGGGTCTCAGCCCAGGAGCACACAGGCCACGGCCAAGCAGGAAAATTGTGTTTTCCTGCCAGAGTATCCCTGACGTGGGAGGCAGGTCCTGCCTCCATCCTGGCCCCTCGCAGCCCCACAGCCCCCGCTCGCCGAGCCCCAGAGGTGCTGGTGGAAGCAGGACAGCGGGGCTTGGGGTTTTGATGGCCCTTATTACCAAAGGTTTTCTACCTGGGGGTGGAAAATGGGCATCAGGGACACCCAGGGACACTCTTGGCTCCTGGAAATGCTGCTGGCCCTGGTGAAGGCATCGCCTTCCTCATGGCCCCACCTCGAAGGGCTGTGTCCAGTTTTGGGTCCCTCACCACAAAAAAGACATTGAGGGGCTGGAGCGGGTCCAGAGAAGGGCAACGAAGCTGGTGAGGGGTCTGGAGACAAGTCTGGTGAGGAGTCTGTTCCCCTCCAGCTTGAAGCCATTGCCCCTCGTCCTGTCACTGCAGGCCTTTCTAAACAGGTTCTCCCCAGCCTTCCTGTAGGCTCCCTTCAGGGACTGGAAGGCTGCTCTTAGGTCTCCCCGGAGCCTCCTCTTCTCCAGGCTGAACAGCCCCAGCTGCCTCAGCCTGTCCTCGTAGCAGAGGTGCTCCATCCCCCTGATCATCCTTGTGGCCCTCCTCTGGACCCTCTCCATCAGGTCCATGTCCTTATTATAATGTCCCTGTGTTTCTTATGAGTACCATGAGATGTACATATAGTGCCATATAAATGTACATACCCATAAAACATCAAAAGGAAGCTGAGGGGAGACCTTCTCACGCTCTATAACGACTACCTGAAGGGGGTGTAGAGAGATGGGGGTTGGTCTTGTCTCCCAAGTCACAGGAGACAGGACGAGAGGAAATGGCCTCAAGTTGCACCAGGGGAGGTTCAGATTGGAGATTAGGAAACATTTCTTCACGGAAAGGGTTATCCAGCATTGGAATGGGCTGCCCAGGGAAGGGGTTGAGGCACCATCCCTGGAGGTGTTCAAAAGATGGGCTGACATGGTCCTCAGGAATATGGTTTAGTGGTGTGTGGGGTTTTTCTTGTTTTTATTTATTTATTTATTTTGTCAGAGTTAGGTTGACGGAGTTTTTTTGTTTGCTTTTATTTATTTATTTTATCAGAGTCAGGTTGATGGTTGGACTAGATGATCTTTAAGGTCCCTTCTAACCTAGACAACTCTATGATTCTATGATTTTATGGGAAGCTGGGCACAAGGATGCTCCAGGTGGCCGCATCCCTCCCACTCCCCACCCTCCTTGAAGGAGAGGATGAGATGCTCAGCAACCTGCTCTGGTGGGAGGTGTCCCTGCCCAGGGCAGGGGGGGCTGGAACTCAATGTTCTTTAAGGTCCCTTCCAACTCAAACCATTCTATGATTCTACAACACTCCTCAACTCCCAGCCACTTCCTCCTCTTGACCCTCAAATCACCCCCTTTGGCCCAAAACCCACCGTAGGGTCTCCAACACCCTCTCCAGAGTAGGAAGATGATGGTGTCCCCAAATGAGCCCCCATGTCCCCCTCCCCAGGTGTCACTCACCGTTGTTGCAGTGCCGTACGCAGTCCTGGAAAACCGCCCTCCACTTCTCCTGCTCCTTGCCCGTCATCACGCAGAAGTAATAGTGGCGGGCGTAGGGGTGCCAGAGGATGAGGGGGAAATCCGTGGGGCACTTCAGGATGGGGGAGTGCCCCGATTTGGGCGTCACACCTGTGGAAGGGGGAAGGATGCTTTGAGGAGGAGATAGGGGAGGACCGGGATGGGGATGCTGCGGGGTCAGGGGTGTCCCCTCTCCCCCAGCGTTTGTTGTGAGTTCTACCAAAAACACAGGGCAAAAATAAAAAAACAAACTGCAAAGAGTCCTTGTTCTTCCGAAAAGGAAGTGAAAATTGGGGGGGTAAAAAAAATAAATCATTATTTCCAGCCTAACAGTCTCCCCAGAGCATCTGGCCTGACCCTGCTACCATCGTGCCTGTGTCCTGAACCACCAAAGGGCTCGCTGCCCCACGTGAGCCCCTTGAGCAGCTCCTGCCCCACTCCTTGAGGCTACCCTGGCCTTCCAGGGCATGAGGACAGTGAGCAGGGTGATGGTCAGTCCTCCTGGGGGGACTGGATGGAGGAGCAGAGCTGTTGCCTTTGCCCAAGAGTCCCCAGGAAAGGTCTTCACACCCCAAAACCACCCCTTGCTGAGAGTCCGCAAGGACGCCACACTCCAAAACCACCCCTTCTAGAAGGTCTACAGAGATGCCCACACCCCAAAACCACCCCTTGCTGAGGGTCTACAAGGACGCCCACACTCCAAAACCACCTCTTCCAAAAGTTCCCCAGAGATGCCTATACCCCAAAACCACCCTTTCCAAAGGTCCACAGGGATGCCCAGACCCCAAAACCACCCCCTCCTGAGGGTTCCCCACCCCAAAACCACCCCCTCTTGAGGGTTCCCTGATGTCTACACCCCAAAACCACCCCTTCTAGAAGGTCCACAGAGATGTCCACACCCCAAAACCACCCCTTCTAGAAGGTCCACAGAGATGTCCACACCCCAAAACCACCCCCTCCTGAGGGTTCCCAGATGTCTACACCCCAAAAACACCCCTTCTAGAAGGTCCACAGAGATGCCCACACTCCAAAACCACCTCTTCTAGAAGGGTCCCAGGAATGCCCACAGTCCAAAACCACCCCTTCCTGAGGGTCCCCAGGGATACCCACATCCCAAACCCACCCCTTGCCAAAGGTCCCAAGGGATACCCAGCAGCATCGGGGTTTCTAGAAGGGCCCCAGGAATGCCTACACTCCAAAAACACCCCTTCCTGAGGGTCCCCAGGGATGCCCACATGCCAAATCCACCCCTTGCCAAAGGTCCCAAGGGATACCCAGCAGCATCGGGGTGCTGGGGACCTCGAGCATCCCTCCTTGCCCCCACAGCCACCAGGACCACTCACCAGGAAGGCTGTTATTCACCAGCTCCAGATACTGGTCCACGGAGGTGAGGACCTTGTAGCCAGCGCTGTTGACCAGTACGCGGGGCGGCAGCTCCCGCTCATAGGCCTGAGCAGAAAAAGATGGTCATGGATGATGGGGAGCCACTCCACCACAGCGATGGGGTGTCCCCCTTTGAAGCTGTGCCCACCGGAGATGGGCGAAAGGGTGATGCCCCTCACCAGTTTGTTCTCGTAGAGGACCAAGCCATAGTTGTGTGGGACCACGCAGAAGCGATTCCTCCACTTCTTGTTCTCCTCGATGTACTGGAAGAGGTTGCCTGAGTAGATGACATGGTCCTCCAACGGAACCTGTGGGGAGGAGACAGGAAATGGGTGGCACAGTGTGGGCAGAGAGGGGGGGCAGCTGGGTACCCCTCCACCCCACGGCCACAGCCTGTCACGGGGAGCTCAGCAAGGTCCGTTCCTCATGGCTTAGGTGGAGGTTTCTGCACAAGGCCTACGCTGAGGGTCTCCAAGTTCATCACTGGAATATCTCCTATAGCATTGCAAATGTTGGTGCCTGAATAGGTGCGTTTGGGTGAAAACCTTGAGGGGTACCACATGCCCAGCCCGAGAAAACCTCAGAGGAGCTGGCTCATATGACAGAAAAATCACACGTGGTGATGTTCACCATGGTGGTGGTAAGATCTGTGTCTCCAGCATCTCCTTCCTGGGAGATGTGCCAAGCTCAGCTGAGCAACTCAAGCTCCCTTGGCTGAGCAATGGGTTGGAACAGAGAACTCCAGTACCTCTTCCCAACCTCAGCTAAAGCATTTCCCTGGCCTGGGGCAGGTGGGACCCCATGTGGTACTGCTCGGTGGTGGCCATCAACTGGAAGGTCCTGCCAGGGTGAGGGTCAGAGGCAAGCTGCAGAGGGCAGGAACCTTTGTATGGACTCCAGATGGGACATGGAAGAGGAAAAGCAAGAAGCCACCCCGTAGAGCTCAGCCCCGGATGATGCTTAAATGCTCTGGACTTCATGGATGACCAGCAAAAGGAACAGGCTGAGGACATCCCAAGTTCCCAAGCCCCCCCGAGGCTGAGCAGCCCCTTGCCAGCTCTCCCGTGTCTTTTGGCCTCCACGCCGGCAGCTTTCAGGCCATCCCAAACACAGCCTGGCTGAGCGAGCCAAGAATTTATCCCAAGAATTTTTATGATCCCAGGAACATAAACAAGAGCCAAGAGCTCTCGTGAGGTTGGGAGCGTGCAGCCGCCGCCTCTCCCGACGTGGCCACCCACCATCCACCACGGTGGCCCTCAGGAGGGATCAGCCAGGGCTTGGGTCCCACCACACACCCAGCACTGAGACCTTTCCCTCTCCTCTCCCTGTTCTGTCCATCTCCTGGTTCAGAGGAGCCCCGTTGCCTTCCCCAAGTCCAACATCACCCCTCAATCCCAGACTCCAGGTTGTCCAGCCTGGAGAAGAGAAGGCTCCAGGGAGACCTTAGAGTCCCTTCCAGTCCCTCAAGGGGCTCCAGGAAAGCTGGGGAGGGACTCTGGATCAGGGAGGGGAGCCACAGGATGAGGGGGAAGGGTTTTAAACTGAAAGAGGGGAGATGGAGATGAGATGTGGGGAAGAACTTCTTTGGGGTGTGGGGGGTGAGAGGCTAGCCCAGGCTGGCCAAAGAAGCTGTGGATGCCCCATCCCTGGAGGGGTTCAAGACCAGGTTGGAGGGAGCTTGGAGCAACCTGGTGTGGTGGGAGGTGTCCCTGCCCAGGGCAGGAGGGTTGGACTAGATGATCTTTAAGATCCCTTCAACCCAAAGCACTCCATGATTCTATGATTTCTATGATTGTATCACCCCGTCCCCCAGGGAGGTCTGAGAGCAGCCTGGCTCAGCACACGGGCTGACAGCACCTCGCTGCTCCTTGGAAGGGGGAGAAGAAAGCACGAAGCAAGTCCTGCAGCGCTGGAGGACAGTGGGAGGGATGAGAACCTGAACCCTGAGGCCACCAGCAGTGATGGGAACAGAAAGGTCTGGGAATCCCCATCAGCATCTCACGGGGGTGGCTCATCGGAGGAGAATCAGCCCTTAGAAACTGGCTTAGAAAGGTAAACTGCCCCAAGGTAAACGAAGCCACGCTAATTGGCTGCTGAAGAAATAACATCCAGGCTGAGCTCTGCCATGGGTCCGGGTGACCCCTTGGCCAGGGAATGGCTGCTCAAGGCCACCAGCATCCTGGGAACCCCAGTCTAGCCATCCCCTCCTTGCCCTGGGGAGCCACCGAGGTGGCACCACCCAACCCCAGCAAATATTTGGGACAGGCCAGGTATGTGCTTAATTGCTGGGCTGGGCAGGGAGGGGGACAGGGACCGCGGGGGCGGAGGGGCCCATCCTGCCTGTGTCCCTGCCACGGGGACGATGGGGACCAAGATGGGGTCTGGATATGGCAGCTCCAGGGCTTGGCTGGGACAGGGGAGGATGCTCAGGGACTGGTTTCCAGGGGACATGGGGATGTCAGACCAAGGCCACACTGTCCCCACCACTGGCTGGGGACACCAGAGGCAGGAAGATTTAGTCCTTGTTCCCATCTCTGCTGCTTCTCGCTGGCATTGACGGTTGGCCAAGATGATCTTTAAGGTCCCTTCCAACCTAGAAGATTCTGTGATTCTGTGATTTTTCAACCAAGCCACACACGGGACCCCAGCCCACATGTCCCCCTCCACCCAGGAAGGCCACCACCCCCTGGTATTGCCTCTTGAGCTCCACATTTTCCCCCAAAAAAGGTACAAAATAAATACAATTAAAAAAAAACCAACCCTAAAACACCAGATCCCAGCTTGCCCTGCCCAAGGACACGGAGAGGGCTACCCTGCAGCTTCTCCATTTTTGGGGAGGATTTGAGGAGCACAAAGCCCAGCTGGAGGAGATGCTCCCCCCACGGACACCCAGTTCCCCGCGGTGTCTGGAGCCCCAGTCCATCCCAGTCCTCTGCTGTGACACCGGGCAGAGGACGGGGAGCAGAGGGGACATTGCACAAGAGGAATGTCCTATTTAGATCCTGCTGTTCTGAAAGATTTGCACGGTGTCCCTGACCCTCCCACCTCGCCGCCGTTCTTCAGACATTCCTGAGCTGCTCCCTGGAGCTTCTTCATGAAACAACCGACCTTGGGAGGGAGGTTCTCCTCCCAGGGGGGGTGCTGAAAGCATCTGGAAAATTGTGAGGAACCCAAGGGACCTCCACACCTTTTATTTTTGCTCAACACAGCCAGCACCCAGGCACCTTCCAGAGGAGATGGGACACCTCCAGGTGGCTGGACAAGGTGTCACCTGCATGGGTGGCCCAAGGAGACAACCGCTGTGAGCACCTAGGGCTTGAGTCTGATCTCATGGGGGCAATTTCTAGATTTCTTAAAAAAACGCCCCTTTAAGCCCCAGGTAAAAGCAGAAGCCTGTTCCCACGTGTGATCACATCTCCTCCTGCTTTCAAGGAGCACCCCCAGGATGGCAGCTCCCCCAGGAGGGACCCCAAACCCTGTCAGATGGTGAGAAGCCCTGGCTGAGCTGCATCTGCCTTTGGAAAAGGGAGGAGAGGGCAGGATCTGTCCCTGGGTGCCGGAACCATGGGCAACAAGCCCCATGGGGGGGTTGGTTGGAGTCCTTTTGCCAAGGCAGGAGAAAGGCGGCTGATGGACATGAGCCTTGGAGCCTCCTCCTCTTCCTCCATGGGGCCAGGGACACCTGCCAGGGGTTTCCTACCCCTCCCTTGATATTTTTCCAGGCTGGAGCATCGCTGGAACCCAGGGCAGGAGGACAACAGCCCAGCATGGACCATGTGGGGCTTCTCTGGGCGCAAGGTGGGTCTTGGGAGTTCAACCCTGGCATCACGCACCCTCATCCAAAAACCAGCCTTGCCCCTGCTCGATGCTCATTGCACTGGGGGGGGTGTTGGCAAAGAAAACCACCCCAGGGACCCCCTCAAAGTGCTGCACGGGGGGTGCATGACACCACGGGGATGGGCTGGACCAGTGGCAATGGGGGCTACATTGGTGGAAGATGGAGGAGAGGGGATGTGCCTGGGTTTTTTGGGAGGACACGGGTCCGTGGTGGCCGGGCGTGAAGCTGGAGCTCCTCAGGTGGGGTCGGGGTCTTCTTACCTTGCGATGGAGCAGCTGGGCCTGGGGCCCCCCGTTGCCTTCGATCTCGTAGCGGACGCTGTTGAAGAGGGCCACGCCGTACTGCTCCTCATAGCAGCGGCAGAACTCCCCCAGCACCTTCCCCGTCTTCTCTGCAGGAGGAGAGAGGAGCCGCCTGAGGCGGGGGCTGCAGCCGGGGGTCCCCTCGGTGCAGACCCCCCCATCCCCAGCATCCCACTGAGACACCTTCCCTCACCTACCCAACACCTCCCGTCACCATCCCACCCACCAGAGCTGGCTTTGGGGGGGGGCCATGGCTAAGCCCACCCCCCCCCATCCAGCCCAGGGAGTGATTTGGGCCTAGCACCGTCTTTTTTTGGCTTTTTCACATTAATGCCACAGATTCCTCTCCCCAGCAGGAAATTCCTGACGTGGAGCTGATTCCGGCCACGCTGACGGCTTCCCC